CACAAGGCCATGCTGCAGGTGCCGAACGTGAACAACACTGGTCACCTCATCGGCATGTGCCCGCTGTACATCGGCATGCGTGTGCGGTTGAACGTGAAGTTGTCGGCGAAGCACCAGATCGTCCAGGACGCCGTGGGGGAAGTCGTGGACGTGAGGTTCCACCCGCGAGAGTTCGAGACGCCAGACGCGGGTTGGCGCGAAAAGAAGCTTCACGACGCGCACCGGCTCGGTTATTATCGATGCAAACGTTTGCCGCGCGGTGTCCTCGTCAGGTTTGATGGCCTCGAGAAGGACTTTGGGTTCGGAAAAGGGGTCGTGCAGATCGCGCCGCACAGGGCGTCCTGGGAGTGGAACCATCACTACGAAGACGAGGGCGAGCGAAAGCTTCGGAAGGTGAAGGTTACGAGGTGCCAGATCCCGTTGCTGCCAGAGAAAGTTCGTAGCGTGCAGACTGCGCAGGGCATGGGCATGGATGCGGCCACCATGGTGCTCCAGAAGCCCATGAACATGGGCGCTGATGACTGGTGGCTGCACCTGTACGTCATGCTCAGTCGCGTTCGCGTGGCCCACCGCGTGCTCGTCTACAACCTGCCGCCCTGGGACATCCTGGAGCGGGGCCCGCCCCAGTGCGTCCGCGACGGTGTCCAACGCTTTGAAAAAAGATGCTCGAGAGTTTCGAAGTCGCCAAGCAGAGGGCGCAGGAGTGCGGCTGGGACGTGGGGGATGGGCCCGCCGCACGGAGGGCCCCGGAGTCGAGCTCGGCGCCCGCGCCGCTGCTGGTGCCACGGGCGTCGCCGCTGGGCCCTTCTCGGGCCGCGGGGACCTCAGCGGGCGTCGGTGAGGCGGACGACGGCGACGACGAAGCAGCCGGATCAGTTCCTTCGGACGGGGAGGCGGCCCCTGCGGCGTCTGTGCGTACGCCTCTGCCCTCGCACGCGCTGCGCCCGGGTCAGGCTCTGACGGTGCCACGGGCATGAATTGCGCCGGACGCGGGGCTTGCGAGGCGGGGCAGGGGCCGCGGCCGCGGCGGTGACGCGACGGGGACCGGAGATGCGGCGGCGGCATCGTCGACGGGGAGCGCTGTTTCGCGGGGGCGAGGGCGCGCGGGTGGCGGCCGCGGTGCCGGTAGGGGCACCGTAGTGCCGAGGGATCTTTGGGGGGGCATGTTTCGCACGGCGGCGACTGTTGGCGATGGTGCAGAGCCGCCAGAGCTGCGCCCGCTGGACCGGGATCTGTGCATGGCAGCTTACGGCGTGTCCCAGGAGGAGGTCACCAGGGAGCTGCAGTGGCACTGCGGCCGCGGCTCTGGCGTGGGCATCGCAAACCTCGGCAATGCTTGCTTCGTGAGCGCAGTCGCGCAGGTGCTGCTGCGCCTGGCTCTCTTCCGTCGGCCTCTCTACGTTCACGACCAGCGGTGCCCTCTGGGTGCGGCATCTTGCGCGGCGTGCGCGCTCGGAGCTCAGGCCACGGCTCTCGCTGTCCAGGGCGGGGGGGTCGACACCGACGCGCCGCTGGCTGCCGCCGCGCGCGCGGGGCTTTTTGGCGAGCGAGATTTCGCAGAATTCGATCAGCAAGGGGGGCCGAAAAAATGCGACGCGTCAGAGTTCTTCTTGGCCGCCCTCCATGCCGTTACCGAGGCCGAACACCCCGTTTGCACCGCAAGGGGGGCTCACGGGCAGCGCAGTGTGCTCCAGCAGCACGTCTGCGGCATTGCGTTTCGGCAGCGGAGGCGATGCGCCGCGTGCACAGCAAGTTCGGACAAGGGGGAAATTAAGACGTTTCTGAAGGTGGTGCCTTCTGAATTGCTCGGCCCCGACCACCGGGGGCCGTGCGATCTGGAGGACTTGATCCGGCTGGGATTCAGGCATGTCGGTGAGCCAGGGCCAGGATGTCTGGCGCACGCTCACCTCGATGATGCTCAGAGGGCGGCGGCCGGGGTCTGGCAAGGCATCAGGGTATATACAGGCAATCGCTGGGAGCGGTCGCCGCCGGTGCTCTTCGTGATCGTGGAGCGGGTGATAGGCCAGTGGTACGACAGACGCCCTGTGCGCTTTCCTCAGATTCTGCGGCCTGTGGATTCCGAGTGCGAGTGCGATTTCTCGGGGGTCATGGTGCACCAGGGCGAAAGCGCGACGAGCGGACACTATTATGCGTATGCATCCGTGGGCGTGAACGAATACGCCAAATTCGACGACAGTGCTGTCCAGCTCCAGACTTGGGCGCAGATCGCCAGAAACCGCCAGGTGCACATTGGCGCCTGCGGGCGCGCGGCGGCGGGGTCTGCGGGGGGCGCCAGCGGCAGCGCTGGTGCGGGACCGTCTGGTGCGCCGCCGGCTCCGCCGACTGCGCCGCTCGGGCATGCAGGCGGGCGCGCGGCGGGGTCTGCGGGGGGCGGAAGCGGCGGCGGCGGCGCTGCTTCCAGCGCCGGTGCCGCGCCGTCTGCGCCGCCGAGTGCGCCCGCCGGGCAGCAGGCGTCGGGTGGCGAGCCACCGGGCAAGCGGCGTCGGGCGGGTGGCGGGGATCCTGGCGCTGGCGACGGGGGCCCCAGCGCTTCGGGGCAGCCGCAGCCGCCATCGCGCACGGGCAAGAAGCGCGGGCTGTCGCCGCCAGCTCCGGGCCGCGCGGGCGACGAGGACGACGACGCTGGCAGGGCCGCTGGCGTTCCGTCCGCGGACCCGGTGCCTGCTGGAGTCCAGCCAGGCGCGGGGGCGTCGCTCGCGGGGGGCACCGCGAAGTGCATGGCTCGGACGTGGGGGAACGGAGCTGGCGGGCAATGCCGGAGCGCGCAAAAGCAGGGATGCGGGGATCTGTGCGGGCTGCATTTCAAGCAGCAGCACAAAGATGGTTGGCATGGGCGTGTGGACGGGCCCATCCCGGAGGGAAAGTTAGGTGTTCAAGGAGAAGAACGCAGGCAAGGCCCCGCGTGCGGCGCCCGCGGCTGAGGCTGGCGCGGTGCCCGGCAGCGATGGCGTCGCCGCGAGGGCGCCGACAGGGGGCGGCGAGGGTGCTGGAGGGGCTAGCGCAACCAATGCGGCTTCGGATCCACCCTCGGGCGGCGAGCGCGGGGGGCGTGGCGGGCGCGCGTCCGCGAGGGAAATCGCCGCCGCTGCCGCGGAGGAGCGCGCGCGGCAGGAGGATCCTGAAGAACGGCGGACGCGCTTGGGCATCGCCGAGCACAACAAGCGGCAGGAGTTGCTCGGCCAGGTCGCCGGAGCCTTCCGATTGCGCCAGGAGGGCGCGCCCGTCAGCATCGGCAGGTGGACTGACGAGAAGCTGCGACAGACGTTGCGCCGCCTGCGCCCGGAAAGAGATGACGTGGTGAGCGAGTCAACGATTGTGGCGCTGTCTGAGGAGGCTCTCTGAGTGCTGTGCCTCGACGGCTGCTCTCTGAGTGTGTGCCTGTGTGTCTGTGTGTCTGTGAGTCTGTGTGTCTGTGTGTCTGTGTGTCTGTGTGTCTGTGTGTCTGTATGCCTGTGTATTTGAGTTTCTGTGTGTCTGTGTGTCTGTGCGTCTGTGTGTCTGTGTGTCTGCGTGTCTGCGCGCTTGTGTGGCTGTGTGTCTGTGTGTCTGTGGTCTGTGTGTCTGTGTGTCTGTGTATGTGTGTCTCTGTTTGTCTGTGTGTCCGTGTCTGTGAGTCTGTACGTCTGTGTGTCTGTGCGTTTGTGTGTCTGAGTGTCTGTGTGTCTCTGTGCGTGTGTCCGTGTTTCTCTCTGTCTGTGTGTCTGTGTGTCTGTGTGTCCGTGTGTGCGTGTCTTCGTCTGTGTGAGCCCCGCGCTTTCCCCCTCCCCCTCTTCCCCCTCCCCTGGCGCTCCGCGGAGTGGCTGGAGTGGAGGGAGGGCTGGCCCCGAAATGGGGCGGCGCGCCCCCCCTTCCGGAGCGCCGGCGGGAGTGGCGGGGGGCGGGGTGCGTGGAGGGCCGCGTGGGGGTCGCGGGGGAGGGGGGGGTGTCTGTGTGGCTGAGTGTCTGTGTGTTTGAGTGTTCTTGTGTCTGTGTCTGTGTGTCTGTGTGCCGGTGTGTCAGTGTGCCTGTGTGTCTGTGTGCCTGTGTGTATGTGTGTCGGTGCGTCTGTGTGTCTGTGTGTCTGTGTGTGCGCGTGTCTGTGTGTCTGTTGAGTCACGTTTTGGGTTGTCTCGCTTATGTTGCTCTCTATGTTGGCCTCGCTGTTGGCCACTCTGGCCCGTGCTTGACGGCCAGCTCGCTTTTGTCTCGGTCGGTATTTTCCCATGCACAGACTGCGCTCGGGTACAGTATCGCCTGCTGGCTGCAAGCCCGTTTGGGCTTGAGCCAACGGTTGCGGACATGCAGAAGGCATGCGGAAGAATACAGCATGCCGCGGTGAGCGCCGAACGGCGCCACCAGACCGGCTTTGCATCAGAAATGCCGCGGTGAGCGCCGAAAGGCGCCACCAGACCGGCCTTGGATCAGAACTGCCGCGGTGAGCGCCACGGGGCGCCACCAGACCGGCCTTGAGGCAGACTTGGGACGATTCGAGGCTCCCCGGAGACCAGCAGACGGCGAAGCCACAGCGGGACGATTCGAGGCCCCCAGGAAAGCAGGCAACGGCGAGACCACAGCCCTGGGGCACGCCCAAGAGAGCGCAAGCCTAATTGGGGAACACGCTGCGTAGCTGTCCCGGCCGCGTGGCTGATGCAGGCGGGCGCAAGCCTAATTGGGGTTAGACTGCACGCCGGGGCCCGGCCACCTAGCTACGGCTCGTTGGCCGCCTCTGTCTGGCTTTCGGAGAAAATACATCGCACCCCATTTGCATGATCACGTATACTGGAAAACAAGGATGCCGCCACACAGTCGAAATGCCCAATGCTTATGAGGACACCCCCGGGGCCTCCGCGGACCTCTCCACAAGTCGTCCCCCTCTGAGCGCGCACGCAGAAGGACGCTTCGAGGCTCGCGCCTGGAGACAAATGCCAAGCGGGTGCAACAAGACGCTAAGAGCGCTACCTGTCGTAACGCCGTGTCTGTCTGCTCACTCACTCACTCTCTAAGCCACGCCGCTGGCAATGCACAGGTCGTCAATGTAGATGGCCAGCCAGTCCGCCGCATAGCCGTCGAAGACACGTCGCATCACAGCCTGGAAGGCCTGCGGCCCATCACATGGCCCGAAAGGTAAAGACTCCCACGCATGCAACCCAGCGAAGGTGCAAATTGCCAGAATCTCTCGTGCCCGCGGCGTGAGGGGAAGATGATTGAATCCGCTGACGGCGTCCAGCGAAGAAAGCCACCGTCTGCCAGCGCACCGGCGCAAGGTATCATCAACCCGTGGGATGGGATAGTACATGCGCCGAGTCACGGCATTGACACGACGGTAATCGCACACCAGGCGCCCGTTAGGCTTCGACGCCTGTGGGACCACGAAGGCCGGTGTGGCCCAGGCCCCAACATGTCGCGTCAGGAACCCCATCGCCATGTTCTTCGAGATATGGGCCTCACATTTTGCAGCTTCAGCGGGACTCATGCGATATGGCTGCTGCGAGATAGGGGCAGCGCCGGCCACGTCGACATCATAGGCAGCACCGCTCACTCGCGTGAAGGACGCGCCTTCGTTCCAAAGCGCCTGCCGCCACTCCACACACACCCACACCAAGGCTGCACGATCCTCCTCTGAGATGTGGGGGTTGGCACGGGCAAGCTGCCAAGCCTCGAAAGCGATGATCTCGGCGTGCCGTGCTGTCGACCTGGCTGCCGTATCGAAGACAATCTCGTCCGCCTTGATCCTCCGAAGCTCGTCGGCGTCCATGGCCTTCGGCACGACGGACCTCCGGGAGCCGTTGATGAACACGTTGGGCACCTCCGGAAACGTGTCCTCCAGCGTCGGCGAAGCAGCGGCTATCTCCTCAGGACGCGCCGGCGGCTCCTCGGCAGCAGGCGCTGCATGAGGACAAAATGTCAAATGCAATGCCCCCGCTGCTCTGCGGGAGCGCGCGTCCAGGCGACTGTCAAACAAGCGAGCCTCCGCGCGAAGATCCACGTAGGGAACGTCGGCGCGCACCTCGGTCAAGGTCGGGTCGAACGTCTCCACTCCGTCAGCACGCAGGTGGAGCCGGGCCCACGTGCCGTCCGCTCGCATGCCAAAGCGAGCCAGAGAGACCAAGAGGCGACGAGGGTAGTTCACCCTCACCTCGCCGAGGAAAGCGCCGTTCGAACCCTCTGCCAGCAACAACACGCCAGGAGTCGCCTTCGACCACCGCCGCCGTGCATCTTCTCGTAGAAGCGGCGCCTCGGCGGACGGCGAATTCTCATCCAACCGCAGTGGGCGGCAAACGGCCGCCGGCACCAGGGTCAATCGAGAAGTCGCGATGCCGTGCTCTCCGGCTGGCGCGCGCGGCTGTCCAGCTCCGTCAGCACCGCGCGGTGCTCCCCGATCATGCGGGTGACGCGGTAGGGGCCCTCCATCGCCTCGAGAAGGCCCTTGCTCGGGTCGCCCACGCGCGGCGGCCGCTCGAGCATGGCCAAGTCGCCCGGGCGGAAGACTTGCCACCGCGCCTTGCGGTCCCTCGCCACGGCCGCCTTCACCTCGTAGTCGTCCAAGTAGGCCTTGAAGCGGGACGTGATGGCTTGCCAGCCCACGACCATTGAGCGAAGCCACTCGTCCTCAACCATGGCTGCCGGAACCGTGGCCCAAGGGGCCAGCGAACGCTGCGTCGGCAGCGCAGCGGCCCAACCATGAACAAGGCGGAAAGGGGTCACCTGGCTGTCTGCAACCCGGTGATGGCGGAGGTGGTACTGCAGGCACGCCAGAAACTCGCCCCACAGCTGCGGGGAGCTCTTGGCGAGCTCGTGCACCAGCAGCCGCAACGTCGTCGCCATCTGCTGGTGGCTCCTCTCGACGATGCCGTTGATCCTCGGGGTGTAGGCCGGTGTGGTATACGGCCGCATGCGGAGCAGCACCAAGACCTCCTGCATCAAGTCGTTCACGAACTCGCGGCCCCTATCGCTCTGCACCACCCTCGGGAACGTCCCCAACTCCCAGATGATGGATAAGAAGGTTCTGGCCGTGTCCGTCTTGGACTTCGTGTTCTGGCCGCGGAGCGTGGGGTACCGAGTGAAGACGCAAATCAGAGTGAAGACGTATCGCCACCCTTCCTTGCTCCCAGGGCACCACGGCCCCTGCAAGTCGATCTGGACGGTGTCGAATGGGGTCCGCGGACGCTCAGACCGGGTGAGGGCCAACCGACCCGGGCGACGGTCTGAGGCGCAAGTCGGGCAGCGCTCGATGAATCGAGCCAGGTCGTTCGACATCGAACTCCACCATGCCGTCGCCCTCAACTTCACCAGGGCCTCCTCGAGCTTGGAATGGCCGCCTGACCCGCCCGCGTGGGCGGCCAGCATCGCCCAATTCCTCCAGGTCGTCTTCACGGCGTGCTCCCGGTCGGGATCCAACTCCACTTCGGGAATCAGCGCTCCTGCCGGAAGAACTGGGACCGCGGCCGGATCTCCAGGGAGCTCTGGCGTCAGCCGTCGAAGCAAGGCACCGTCCTCGCCGATGCAGAACCTGGCAGCCTCCCTCCTCAAGCGGGCCGCATCCTCCTGCGCGAGGCCGTGGGTCCGGAGGTCCACGGAAGGCTTGACGACCTTCTCTGCCTCCCAGCGCAGGTAGCGGAGCATCTTCGAGCACTCGGGGTCCACCTCCTGGGCCGTGACGAGGTATGGGCGGAGCGGCCCGGCCAGGCGGCCCAATCCTGTGCCATCGACGTCGCCGCGCCTTGCCTCGTCCTCCTCGTCCTCACGCCGCCTCACGCTCGGCTCCGCCTGGTGCTGCATCAGCTCCTCCTCATCCTCCTCATCTCGACGCCTCCTCACGCTGCTCTCCTCCTGGTGCTGCCTCAGCTCCTCCTCATCCTCCTCATCCTGGCGCCTCCTCGCGCTGCTCCCCGCCTGGTGCTGCCTCAGCTCCTCCTCGAAGGCGATTGGCGTGGGCAGAGGGCCCCGTACCTTCAAGGGGGCGAAATCGCGCCGGCCGCCTCCGCACTCCAACACCGCGCCGTTCGGCAAGCGCGTGGCCAGGCAGCGAGCGTCAGAACGTGAGTTGGCTCCCCGCGGCACCTGGTGCTCGGACCACACGTCGGGAAGCGGCGTCATCTCAGGCACGAGCTCGAAAGGCCTCGACATCAGGCCGGAGCGCAGCACAGCCGCAGCATGCACGAATAACCACTGCGCGACGCCTCTGGCTGCCGACTCCATCGCTTCGGACTCGAAGGGCTGGACGAAACGGTGTCGGTATACCACCTCGCGGACAGCAGGGTGGCAGGCGAATGCAGCCACAACAGCGCCCTGACCCAGCGCCACGACTACGTGGGGCGGCCGGCGGCGCATTTGCCGCAGAAGCTCCAAGACGGCCGTGAAGAGCGAGCGACGCAGCTCCTTGCGGGAGGACGCGCTGTCTGGCCCCCGCGGCTGGCGGAACCAGAAGCCCAAGCCCTCCTCGTCTACCATGGGCGCGTCGGCCTCCACCACGAGCGGCGCGAAGAGGTCAGCCTCCTCGGAGCGGGCGGCCACGAGCAGCTTTTCCACCTCCTTCGCGAAGGTGCCGGGCTCGACAGCCTCCCAAGAAGGCACGGCGAGCCCTTCCAGATGTTGCGGAATCCTCCACCTCCTGTGGCAACGAACACCTCCCAGCCTCCACCTCCTCCAACTCCCAAGGAAACCAGAATAGCGACCATCGAGCGTCCGCAAGCTGTTCGAGAGTAAGGGCGTCCTCGAACTCCGTCTGCTTGTAGTCCGCGGCGAGCTCCGAGGGGTTCTTGAGCAGCCAGGCCCGCCGTGCCAGCAAGGCGTCACGATCCTGGGGGTTCCTGGACAAACCATCGGAAGGGTTCACCTTGCCGGCCAAGAAGCAGACGATGACGCCGCTCTGGAGGATGATGCCCCACCACCGGATTACCTTCTCGCCGCACTCCTCGGGAGGGATCATGGACACGGAGGTGTTGTTCCGGTGGTCCGTCCAAGCCAGGGTCCGATAACCGGCACAAATCGGCGCGAACTCGAGGACTGCCTCCTTCATCATCCAGAGCTCTCGCTGCCAGGCCGGCCAGGCCTGCTGCGCCGTAGTGAACGACCGGGAACACATAGCAAGAGGTCGCGGCTTGCCGAGCTCGGCGTCCAGCTGGAAGAGCGCCGCGCCTCCGCCCAGGAGCGAAGCATCAAGAACGATCTCAAAACATCTACCTGTGCGCTCCCAGTCCGCCGCGGCCGCGTAGTCCGGCACGCAGAGGGCAATGAACTCCACGACGAGCTTCTGAATAGCACGGAAGGAGGCCATACCGTCCACATCCAAGGCGCCGAAGTTGTCGTCCACCTCCTTCTTGAGGTATCTGCGGAGCCCGGCGCTCTCCCTGGAGAAGGCTGTGGACAAGAACGGCCTCAGCCAGTTCACACTGCCAAAGAATTCCCGCAACTGGCCCTTCGTCGTGGGCGGCGGGAAATCCATGATGCCCTGGACCTTCGCCGGGTCCGGCTTCTGACCATCCCGCCCCGTGATCGTGCCGAGCAGGCGCAGCTCAGGCTGAAGGAGCTGGCACTTGGAGAGCTTGAACGATAGTCCTCCGTTGGCCGCCGTCTCGAAGACAGCGGAGAGACGAACGAGGTGCTCGATGACCATAGGATCCGCGGCGCGGAACGCTGAGCGGAAGTCGTGCTCGCGCTGCGCCAAGGCCGATGCCGAGAGACAGGGCGCTGGGGGCCCAGAGAAGATCACCTCTCTTATCTCCTCATCCTCGAATGTCTCCTCGGCCGCCTCCCTCCACGCCACCTGCAAATCCTCGTCCACCTCCTCCTCCTCCTCGCCTAGCCTCGCCACGGGCGCGCCTGGCTCGACGTGCAGCGGGGCGTCCTCAGGAGCCCGCACGAGCACCTCGAGCTCCTCCTCTTCCTGCTCTTCCTCCTCCTCCCCCTCCTCCTCCTCCTCTGCCTCCGCCGCGGCAGCGAAGGAGTCGCAGAAGTCGCGCGGCCCTTCCACCACAGACGCCTCACCGCACGGCAAGAGCCAGTTGGGAATACTGCGGCCGCGGCCACTACCGCACAGAGCCGCGAGTGAGCGATGAGGCACCGCGACCTTGGCCACCCTCTCCTCGCCTGCAGGCACGTAGACCTCCTCCGTGGCCCGGAAGACGTGCCGAACCCCGCGCTGTTCCTCAGTGACCTCCTCGCGGCCGCACGGGCGACCGAGTTCAGCACGAGCACAAGTCAAGCCCAACTTCCGCACGACGTGGTGCTCCAGAGTCGTGTCGATGTGCAGCCCTTCTGGCCCCACAGTGCGGGCGCCGAGCAGAGGATAGCCTCCGCCGTCGCGCTCGTCTGGGACGACGCGGTACTCGATCGGCACGGTCTTCGAGGAGCCGCGATAGTCGTGGAAGGTGGTGTAGAGGACGCAACCGTACTTGATGTCCACCGGCTCCGCGCTAGCGAAACCTACTAGTCCGATAGGCGGCCGGTACTCCATCAGCTCCCCAATGGGGTACTCTTTGGAGCCAGGATCGGTGTCGGCGTGCTGCCGGATGATACGCATCACCAGGCTCTCTGGGATCGTCGTCGCCGCCGCGCCCGTGTCCTTGCAGCCCTTGACGCGCACGCCCCCGAAGGAGATCCACAGCTTGTGGTTGCGGCCCGGCTCTGGACGAGGTCGCGGCTGAATATTCGCGATGTCCGCGAACCGGCGCAAGGGCGGGGACACGGCCAGCTGCGCCTCGGGCGGCCCAGAGGGCGCGTCGTCGGTAGGGAAGGGGATCTCCTCTGTCGGTAGGGCCGCCTCGTCCTCCAGCTCGTCGAACGCGTAGTGTTCCTCGGTCGAGCTCCGCTGGGCGACATGGCCTGCAGATGGAGCTGCAGAATCCTTCCGGCCCTCGGGTCGGCCCCAGCTCCCGGGATGCTTCGTCACGGAATGAACCCGCAGCGCCTGCTCCGACGAGAACTCCTTCTCGCAGGCTTCGCAACGGTGCACTGGCAGGCCTCCTCCCCCTTCACCTCCACCAGCTGCTGGGCTGGGCGGCGGAGCCGGGAAATGAGGATGTCGCCGATCAGCCGGTCCGTGTTCGGCACCTGTCGCCGAACTTGCAGGTCCCGTCCTTCTGCCAGTTCCAACATGATCCTCCTCCTCCCTTGCCCCCTCCCTTGGCCGCGGCGTCCCTGGCAGTCTCGGCGGCGAACTCCTCCTCGAGCCCCAGGTCCCGATAGTCCTCCTCCTCGCAGAGATCGACTCCAGGAAGCCGATGGTCAAGAGCAGTATGCCCCTTGCCCAAGCAAATGGCGCACTCCTTCGTCGGATCCGCTCCGCCCCGACGCTTACCGCTGGGACAGCCTCGACGTAAGTGTCCAACTCCACCACACATGTCACACGTGCTGGCACGCCCTGGCTGCAGTCGTCGCGAGCCTTCTCCTCCTGCTGCTGCTCCTCCTCCTCCTTGGGGGTTCGAGCGAAAGCCGTGGCTCGGTTGCCCCAGCCGGCCGCCGAACCGTGCCTCGCGGTTGACCTCAATCTCCTCCGCGGCGAAGACCACGCGCTTCGTGTCCTGCACGGCGAAGAACGACCGGGCCATCTCCATGGCGGCCTCCAGGTCACGCACCAAGCCAACATTCCCTGTACGAGGATCGGTGTACGGGGTCAGCATGAGATGGGTCGCGCACTCCTCCGTCAGCTTCTCGATGAAGTCCACCTTCACCTCCTCGCGGGCCTTGGCCAACCCACTCCGCTCCAGGTTCTTCAGGCAACGCTTGAAGTCGGTCTGGAAGGCCATGTACTCCCGGATCTCCCCGTTCCTCATCGAACAGGCGTTGTACTCAGCACGAGCCCGCCGCTGGCGTTCCAGAAGAGGTCGGTGAAAGGAGCGCTTAAGATAAGCCTCGACCTCCCCCCATAAGTCCTCACGCGCGGAATCCGTGCCCTCCTCGAGCGTCGCGTTGCGCAGCTCGTTGTCGTCGACGAAGGTCTTGAAGTCCAAGAGCGGCACGCCGGAGAGTCCGCCTCGAAGCATCTCCAACTTCTCCTGGGCTGGGTAACCCTTCCCAGCGGAGGCCAGCATCATGACGCGCTTGAGGTCCTTGAAAAACTCCTCCACGTCGTAGTAGATGTCCGTGGCGTCGTACTTCGGCCACTCGACCTCCGCCTTAACCCTGATGTTCGTGCGTCCGGCGCTCCCTGAACCTGCTGCCGGCGCCGGTGGAGGAACAGCCGGAGGCCTCGTCCTCAGCATCTCCTCGAGCGCCTCCACACGCCCTCGAAGGTAAGCGCGGTCGAACTCCAGCGCACGCCGACCTCGCAGCGATGCTCGGGGGTGAGCCTCCTCTTCTTCCTCCTCCTCATCCTCGTCTTCGTACTCGTCGAAGCCTGATGGAGGATCCCCGCCGCCGCCTCCTCCTCCTCCCTTGCCGCCATCTCTCGGCGGCCCTCGCCGGAAGGGCATTCCTCCGCGACCAGCGCCATCGTCCTGTCCACGACGCGCTCGCTGCCCTCCAGGCGGCGGTACACCTCCTCCAGGCGGCGGTGCACCTCCACCGCCTCCACCTGGAAACCCACGGCGTTCTCCAGCGCTCATCGCTGACGGACCCCCGCCGCCCCTCGCGGGCGGAGACCAACGCTCTCCTCTCTCCCTCTCCGCTGCGGCCGCTCCCTGCCAACCTCCCCTGGCTCCTCGCTCTCCCGCAGCGCCCTGATACCCTCCTTGTGCAGTGCCCTCTGCACGAACCCTCTGCTGGTAGTCGAACCGCTCGTCCGTACCTCCACGTGCTTCCGTGCGAACCGCACGACGATCAGCTTCGTATCCAAGCCTCTGTGGAAGCACATCCGGCCTCCGCAGCGCGCCCGAAGGACGTCCACCACGTCCAACCTGCTCCTCGCACGGCCGCCCTCCAACCTCTTGGAGTCCAGCGGACCCTCGTGCCCTCTCCTGAAGGCCGTGGCCAATCCTCGCCTCGTTGCGCTCCTCATCCTGAGCCCTGGCGGCACGCGTGCCGCGAGCAGGACGCGCGCCTGGCGCCGCCGAGGGGCCAACGTCACCTGCCCCGTCGACCCCCTCCTGCTCGTCGCCGTCCTCCTCCTCATCCTCATGAGCAGCACGGCCTCCGAGCTGAGGACGTCCTCCTGAGATCTCCTCCTGCTGACCTCTACCTCCTCTTCCTCCTCCACGTCCTGCCTGGCGGACCTCCTCCTGGCCCTCGCCGGCATTCCTCTGGCGAGGATGCCGCGGCGCCGCGCCGAGTCCTGGCGGGCCGGCACCCTCGCTCCGCTGCCGCTCGTCGATAGGCTCGGCCACGCCATCGTCGGGCGTCGATCCAGAGACATAGGCGCCAGGGCCTCCTCGCCCGCCGCGCGGTGGAGACCAAGGGTCGCCAGAGCCCTGCCACGGATCTGGCAGCTCCGGATCTTCCCATGGAGGCGTCGGCCGGAGGGCGCGTGGATGCGCGGAAGGGGCGCTCGCCGAAGCCGGCTCCACTGGCCCCCGGGGAGGCGTCGTGAATTCCTCGGCCTTCTCCTGGTCCTCAGCGCCTCCTTCCTGCTCCTCTGCGCTGCCGTCCTGATCCTCCTCTGGGCCCTTACTCTCCTCTCCTCTGCCCTCCTCTGGGCCGCGCGGCTCCACCCAGGCGCCGGAAGCCCGCGCCGACCCGTGGGCCACCAGCTGACCCTCTTAAGATCCACTCGGTACGACTTCCTGTGCAGCAGCTGCTGCTGCTGCCGCCTGGCGGCCCTGCTCCCTGCGAGCCGCCAGAGTCGCCCTCGCCTTGGCGGTCTGCGCCCGCCTCTGTTCCAACGTTCGTGTGCTCATTGTGCCGGGGCAAAGAAGACGCAAGGTCAATCTGGCCCCGACTGGTTCCCGGAGCAGCCCCCACTTGTTGAGTCACGTTTTGGGTTGTCTCGCTTATGTTGCTCTCTATGTTGGCCTCGCTGTTGGCCACTCTGGCCCGTACTTGACGGCCAGCTCGCTTTTGTCTCGGTCGGTATTTTCCCATGCACAGACTGCGCTCGGGTACAGTATCGCCTGCTGGCTGCAAGCCCGTTTGGGCTTGAGCCAACGGTTACGGACATGCAGAAGGCATGCGGAAGAATACAGCATGCCGCGGTGAGCGCCGAAAGGCGCCACCAGACCGGCTTTGCATCAGAAATGCCGCGGTGAGCGCCGAAAGGCGCCACCAGACCGGCCTTGGATCAGAACTGCCGCGGTGAGCGCCACGGGGCGCCACCAGACCGGCCTTGAGGCAGACTTGGGGCGATTCGAGGCTCCCCGGAAACCAGCAGACGGCGAAGCCACAGCGGGGCGATTCGAGGCCCCCAGGAAAGCAGGCAACGGCGAGACCACAGCCCTGGGGCACGCCCAAGAGAGCGCAAGCCTAATTGGGGAACACGCTGCGTAGCTGTCCCGGCCGCGTGGCTGATGCAGGCGGGCGCAAGCCTAATTGGGGTTAGACTGCGCACCGGGGCCCGGCCACCTAGCTGCGGCTCGTTGGCCGCCTCTGTCTGGCTTTCGGAGAAAATAAATCGCACCCCATTTGCATCATCACGTATACTGGAAAACAAGGATGCCGCCACACAGTCGAAATGCCCAGTGCTTATGAGGACACCCCCGGGGGCTCCACCCAGGCGCCGGAAGCCCACGCCGACCCGTGGGCCACCAGCTGACCCTCTTCAGATCCACTCGGTACGACTTCCTGTGCAGCAGCTGCTGCTGCTGCCGCCTGGCGGCCCTGCTCCCTGCGAGCCGCCAGAGTCGCCCTCGCCTTGGCGGTCTGCGCCCGCCTCTGTTCCAACGTTCGTGTGCTCATTGTGCCGGGGCAAAGAAGACGCAAGGTCAATCTGGCCCCGGCTGGTTCCCGGAGCAGCCCCCACTTGTTGAGTCACGTTTTGGGTTGTCTCGCTTATGTTGCTCTCTATGTTGGCCTCGCTGTTGGCCACTCTGGCCCGTACTTGACGGCCAGCTCGCTTTTGTCTCGGTCGGTATTTTCCCATGCACAGACTGCGCTCGGGTACAGTATCGCCTGCTGGCTGCAAGCCCGTTTGGGCTTGAGCCAACGGTTACGGACATGCAGAAGGCATGCGGAATAATACAGCATGCCGCGGTGAGCGCCGAAAGGCGCCACCAGACCGGCTTTGCATCAGAAATGCCGCGGTGAGCGCCGAAAGGCGCCACCAGACCGGCCTTGGATCAGAACTGCCGCGGTGAGCGCCACGGGGCGCCACCAGACCTGCCTTGAGGCAGACTTGGGGCGATTCGAGGCTCCCCGGAAACCAGCAGACGGCGAAGCCACAGCGGGACGATTCGAGGCCCCCAGGAAAGCAGGCAACGGCGAGACCACAGCCCTGGGGCACGCCCAAGAGAGCGCAAGCCTAATTGGGGAACGCGCTGCGTAGCTGTCCCGGCCGCGTGGCTGATGCAGGCGGGCGCAAGCCTAATTGGGGTTAGACTGCACACCGGGGCCCGGCCACCTAGCTGCGGCTCGTTGGCCGCCTCTGTCTGGCTTTCGGAGAAAATATATCGCACCCCATTTGCATCATCACGTATACTGGAAAACAAGGATGCCGCCACACAGTCGAAATGCCCAGTGCTTATGAGGACACCCCCGGGGCCTCCGCGGACCTCTCCACATGTCTGTGTGTCTCTGTGTCTGTGTGTGCGTGCGCTTGTGTGTCTGTGTGTCCGTGTGTCTGTGTGACTGTGTGCTTGTGTTCCTGTGTGTCTTTGTGTCCGTGTGTCTGTGTGTCTGTGTGTCTGTGTGTCTATGTGTCTGTGTGTCCGTGTTTCTGTGTGTCTGTGTGTCTGTGTGTCTGTGTGTCAGCGTGTCTGTGTGTCTGTGTCTGGCATGCGTGTGCGCTGGTGTTCGTTTGCGCGTGTTTGTGTTTGTGTGTGTGTGTGTGCGTGTGCGTGTGTTTGTGTCTGCGTGAGTGTTTGCGCGCGTGTGTGTGCGCGGGTGTTTGCGTGTGGTCGTGAGCGCCTCTGTGCGGGAGTGGCCGCCGCTGCCGACGGTTCTGGGGGGCCAGCGCGACGTTGGCGGCGCCTGCCTCGTCGGTGGGCGGTGGAGGCTGGGCGACTTCGAGGATTACGTGTCCGTGTGTCTGTGTTCCTTTTTGTCTATGTGTCTGTGTGTCTGTGTGTCTGTGTCTTTTGTGAGTATGTGTGTCTGTGTGTCGTGTGCCTGTGTGTCTCTGTGTCTGTGTGGCTGTGTGTCTGTGTGTCTGTGTGTCTGTGTGTCAGCGTGTCAGTGTGGCAGTAGCAGTGTGTCACTGTGTCAGTGTTTGTCAGTGTGTCAGTGTGTCTGTGTGTCTGTGTGTCTTTGTGTCTGTGTGATCATGTGTCCGTGTGTCTGTGTGTGTGTGTGTGTGTGTGTATGTGTGTCCGTGTGTATGCGTGTCTGTGTGTCTGTGTGTCTGTGTGTCTGTGTCTGCGTCTCTGTGTGTCTGTGTGTCTGTGTGTCTGTGCGTCTGTGTGTTTGTGTGTTTGTGTGTCTATGTGTCTGTGTGTCTGTGTGCTTGTATGTCTGTTTGTCTATGTGTCTCTGTGTCTGTGAGTGAGTGTGTCTGTGTGTCAGTGTGTCAGTGTGTCCGTGTGTGTGTCTCTGTGTCTGTGTGTGTCTGTGCGTTTGTGTGTCTGTGTGTCTGTGTGTCTGTGTGTCAGCGTGTCTGTGTGTCTGTGTCTGGCATGCGTGTGCGCTGGTGTTCGTTTGCGTGTGTTTGTGTGTCTGTGCGCGTGTGTATCCGTGTGAGTGTGTGGGTGTGTGTCTGCCTGTGTGCGCGCGCGGCGCTGGCACCCCCGCGCATTGCCCCTCCCCCTCCTCCCCTCCCCCCGGCGCTCCGCGAGGGCGGAGTGGCTTGAGTGGAGGGGGGTCTGGCCCCAAAATGGGGCTCAAGGCGTCGCGGCTCAAGGCGTCGCCCAAGGGCTCGCAGAAAACTGCCTGGGGAACCTCCTCTTCTGCGAACCTTGTGTGCCTGCTTTCCAATTTTGCTCTACACCTATCACGATTGTGTAAGGTACCTTCGTGCATTGTTGTTCTTTCTTCACAGTTGTCGTATCAAGGGGAGCTGATCGAGGGAGAAGCGATTCATTTAGGAAGTGGAAGAATATTACTGGACGAATATCTTCTTGTATTGGTTGTTCTTCCTTCACAATTGTCGTATTTGATCGTGGGGGGAAACGATTCATTGAGGAAGTCGACGAATATTACTGGACGAACATCTTCTTGTATTGTTGTTCGGTCGTTCTTTCTTCACAATCACGTCGTATCTAGGTGAGCCTGATCGAGGGTGGCATCGATTCATTGAGGAAGTCGACGAATATTACTGGCGTGAGTGTATACGTGAGGCACGAAAGAGCTGGCGCAAAATAATACACAGGACTCAGAGAGTGTTGAAATGGCGTCGGTCGTTGATCCTCAAGTGTCGGCTGCAGCGAGTTCTGGACATGTATCATCGGAGAGTTTTGAACGGAATGTAAAACATCGAGGTGATGAGTTAATGAGAGCAAGGGAGGAGTTGATTTCGAAAGAGACAAACCCATCTCTTGCTGCCCTACTTCACTTCGACTGGGTTTCACGAATGAGGATAGAACCATGTCTCTCGTCAAGCAGTGTGAGGCCACAGATGAGAAACTTGCACATATTGATGAAAAAGTTCAGAAACAAGATGAGCGTATACCAAAATTGGAACAGATGATGATGTATACGCCACAGCCCCCCCCCCCTGGTCTTGGGGGCCCAGGTAATGCCTCGAATGCGTCGCAGGTGTCAGAGCGGAGTTTTTCGGGAGATTCTGAGAACATGAAAATGGCGAGGAGATTGTGGAAGCCAGAGTTCTTGGAAATCAAAGGTTGGGTGAAAAACTGGAGCAATCCCAAGAAACGCAGTGAGGAGATGTTGGGCCCGAAAGATCTTCAGACGCTGGTATCGAATATGGTTGATGCCCTTCCAGAAGATACGAATATGTGTGTGGACAAAGATCGTGCGATTAGGCTCAATGCTGGACGAACGTTGCATGGCCAAGGGGGG